GGTATTTCCCTCCTTAGAGCTGGCAGCCCTACTTTCCCCTCAGTGCCTTTGGTAGGCAACTAAGTTTGGTCCAGTCACCTACTTTGGCCTTTAGGAGAAAACATATTGGAGCCAATCCTGATAGGGTTGCCAACTCCCAATGGGAAATTCCTGGAGACTTGAGGGATGGAGCCTGAAGAGGGTGAGGTTTGAAGAGGGGTGGGACCTCAGACAGGTACAATGCCATAGACTCCACCCTCCAAACCACTCAGTCCCTCATGGGGAACCATTGTTGCCAATCTCCAGATGAGGGCTGGAGACCACTCAAAATTACAATTGCTCTGCAGAAGGGAGGGCAGAAGTCAGCTGAAGTCAAAGGGGCAGATAATGGTAGGTTGATGGTTAGCTGGGAAGGAGATGGGGTTGCCAATTCCAGGCTGGCAAATTCCTGGGGATTTGAGGGGTGGAGCCTGGAGAGGGTGGGGTTTGCGGAGGGGTGGGACCTCAGACAGGTAGAATGCCATAGACTCCACCCTCCAAACCAGCCATTTCGTCCTGGGTAACAATTGTTGCCAATCTCCAGGTGAGGGCTACAGATCACTCAAAATTACAACTGCTCTTCAGGGAGCAGAGATCAGTTCCTCTGGAGAAAAGAGTAGACTGTCATTATACCCTGCTGAGGTCACCACAGCAAAATGACACTGTTTGCCCAAAGCCAGAGCACTCCCCCAGAGCCTCTTTCTAGATCCCGTTGTATTTATTTCCACAACGGGCTTTACTGCTAGTTCGTTATAACTGACATTATGGCACAAAGAGATTTTAATGTTTTCAGTTACTCAGATGACCACATAGCCTCACTACTGAACCAGCCCAATTGTTTTGGTGCAATCATGCATTCTGGTGAAAGTAATGTGTGTGGGGAAATTTAAAGGCCCAATCTTAGGAAAATGAGAATGGATACTCAAGCAGGGGCTCTAAGGGATTGTTGTAGGAATAAAATTATACCGGGGGGGTCATGTACTAAAAAAGCTCCAGTGATATTCCCCCATAATGACAAGTTTAGAGACAGATGGTTTGCAATCCTAAATCAGTGCTCTATGGATCTGATGATATTGTTAATTGAGACCGCGATGGCTGAAAGTTCCAGACTTGAGACAGATACCAAATAACTGCAAGAAAACATAAAAACCTCTTTAAGTGATAACTACTTTACAGCTAAAAAGAGCCACTTGGATAGAGAAATTACAAAACAATTTACAGAAGTAAAAGATGTTAAACTTAAGAAATTCCGGAGGGGTAAAAAGGATTATGATGAAAACAGAGTTTATAATTGGACAGCATTTCAAGGTACTGGTACTAAGAAGGCTGCGTCCTTTAATACCACTCTGGACACTGGTTCTGACTTAGATAAGACAATTACATCTGAAGGACAGAACTTCCATTCATTTGACATGATTGCCACATAACAACCTTAAACACTCTATAATGAGGAAAGAAGATAATTTTTTAGGTCTGGGCTGAGAACTGAGATCAGGGAAGAGATACAGAACTCAAGAAGCCACATCCTGCAAGAAGAAAAAATCTCTCAGAACATATGGTTAGTCAATCTATCTAAGGTGAAACTGAAACCAATTGAACTTTCTGTACTGAGTAAATGTTTTTCATTTGTGCCAACACCACCATATAATTCTTTTCAATTGGTGTGTGAAGTCCAACACTTGTTAAGAAAAATACGATTAGCAGACTATTTTAAGGAAGATAAGAAATGATTATGGCACTTTAAAGTCAAAGTTCACTTTTAATGGATTTTTTAACCATATCAGGAATGTACAGTTACACAATGAGATGCTGTTTGTGTCAATGGATGTCATTTCACTAACATTTCACAAGATGAAGCCCTTGAACTATTACATGAGGTGGTGGAAAAGAGAGAGAGTTTATATCCACCAACATCATTTCTGTGCCACATTGCAAAGTTGTGCTTAAAAAAGACCTTCTTCCAATTCCATAACACTTTCTTTCGGCAAGTGTTAGGCACTGCTATGGTCTGCGAGTTTGGCCCTGAATTGGCCAGTATATTTATGGACAAATTAGAGAATAATTATATTCTTCAGAATGACAATATCTATAAGAACTATCTTGCTTTATACAGAAGATATATGACATGAGATTTTATACAAAATAAACTATTTATCTTGCTTTATACAAAAGATAGATGCGATTTTATGTCTCATGTTTGATTGTATGTCTAGGCAAGGTTCTCCTTATGCTAGGATGTACTGCCTATGGAATTAGACAGGACGTTATCATGGGCCCTCCCAAGTTATAGCCAGATCCCAAAACCATGTTGATCACAGCAACTACACGGTCTGCACCAACGGTTAACTGGGCAAGAAGAAGACAAAAGTGAGAAAGGGGATGTAGATTTGTCTACTCCCTGGGAAAGGGTGCCTCAGTTGAATAGCTTCACCATCTAAAATGCTCCCCACTTCCACAACAAGCCATGAGATACTACATCACTTAGAATGCAGTGCATTTTAATTTTTGCTCTTGACTATCATGAATTCCATACCAATACAAGGCACCTTTCAGCTGCTAGCAGATAAAATTCTTAAACCAACTGTTCTCTCGTTTGGGTGCTTCTATTTAAAGGCTATCTAGGGTTATAAGTGATACATGCAAAAATATAGCTAAACAGAAATCTAGATGTGAGAAATATTTGCTGTTCTCTTGCTGCTTGGTTGGTTTTTTTTACTACCTGAACCTATTTACAGCACCCTCTTCTGTAGAGGAGGAAGAGGGTCATTAGCTTTCATTGTGAGTCCTCTACCTAAAATCTGCCACTCCCTTGTTCAGTTGAGAGAACCTTTTAAATGTTTTGCCTTGGTTTTTAGTGAGAAATGACTATTTCCTATTGACTTGAATAGAAATATTCACATTTTGAAAATTACTGATCCAAAGGGCCACAGTTCTAATTGTTGATGCTAGTGCACATCACTAATAAATAGCTTAAATTAATTAATAGTGGCTACCCCCAGTCCAATGGTCAATTCAAATGCATGGTGCAAACTATCAAACAGATGTTCAACAAATTTAATAGATGGTTCAGATCTTGATTTGGCTCTACTCAGTCTGAGAAACCCTCTTAATCCAGTTGGTGAATAGGTCCCTGGCATGCATAACTTCCTGATGGGAAAGCTTTTACGCAGCACTGCCAGTCACATCAGCAACACTGAAACCCAGATCACTGACTGATGTTTGTTGGAAATGAACCTCCAGTGTTGACAAGAAAACTACTGTGATAAATGGGCTGTGCCTTTTGCACACTTACAAGAGGGGAAGCATATGGAAATGCAGACCCATACAGGATTGGTACCTGCATCAATAACAGGAGCAATGGCTGAACCACATTCTTTTACAGTGGGAACACGAAGCAGAAAGGTGTATCACAGGGATAGGAGGCATCTGAGATAAGATTGTTCCCCAGTACCTGCAGAACATGTTGCTCTGAAAGGTGGGGACTCAGGGACCCTGATGGATATTTTATTATAATTGTATATCGATATGATGCTATTAAATCACTGGTTAAAAAACAACAACACTACTACCAGGGAAACCTGCTGTATGGAATCCCTGTTGCCACTGTTCTGTATTAGTAGTTGCAGCAGCAACGAAGGAATGACACAACCATGTCCCTGCTTGGAAGATGCCGTGTAAGAGCTGTTGCAGAGTTAGGAAGAAAATTTCTTTCCTGTTGCAGCATCCTGAGACTATAGTGTAGCAAAGTTTATAATAGCAAATGTGACATATTTGAAGGAAATTCATCAGGGGTAGAACATGGAAGCAGATTAGATATGAGGGCCTGGCATTTCCAATAGGAGAAAAAGAAAGAAATGGGAGCAGAAAAGCCTGCTGTGGTTGGACAACATATTCACATGAATATACTTCCTGCTGCAGAACACTGAGATTTCAGCTTTTATGTCAAATGAATAGAAAGGGATGGAACATGATGACAATCCAAGAAGTCAAATGAATAAAGACAGGGATAAAGGTCGATTTAAAAAAATTAGCCATCTTTTATTTGTTTTATTGTTTCTTTATTAAGACATCTATGTCCTGCACAACAATCTATATCCTTCAGAAGGCTTTCAATATATTTAAAGCTGATTATCTCCTATTTAAATTAACAAACATCATAAAAAAAACTTTTGTAAAAACCACCCATATTATATTGTGGTTATATCACTTTTATTGCCCAGTGTTTTCAAATGAATTCATCTCATTAAATGTTTAAATAATGAGCTCTAAATTCTCCATGAAATAACATTAACATTTCAGCATTAATATATATAAGGAGGTATGTTAAAGAGCAAAATTTGCTTGAAAACGTGATTCAAGGGCTTATATTCAGTGCCCAGCAGGAAACAGTATGTTTGGATGACTCTACCCTGTAATCTTTCTTTTGTTGCCTAAAAAATAAACAGAAAAAAAATTAATCCTAAAAGCAAAATTCTTCATCTACCATCTCTCTCTACTTGTGTACATATGTGCCATCATCACAACTTATTTATGGTAACCCCAGCAAGGAACTTCAAAGGGAAGTGAGAAGCAGACGTGGTTTAGTGTGGTGTGGTGCAGTGGTTAAGAGCGGCAGACTCTAATCTGGAGAACCAGGTTTGATTCCCCATTCCTCCACATGAAGCTGGCTGGGTGACCTTGGGTCAGTCATAGTTCTCTCAGTGCTCTCTCAGCCCCACCTACCTCACAGGGTGTCTGTTGTGGGTAGAGGAAGGCAAGGCAATTGTAAACTGCACTACTTGAAGTAGTGAAGAGCAGGGTATAAAAACCAATTCCTCCTCCTTCTTCCCATTGCCTTCTGATGGTCTCCCATCCAAATATTGAACCTACTTATGGGGTTCCCATGCCTTCAGTTTGGTGTAGTGGTTAAATGCGAGGACTCTAATCTGGGAGAACCGGGTTTGCTTGCCCACTCCTCCACTTGCACCTGGCTGGATGACCTTGGGCAAGCCGTAGTTCTGATAAGAGCTGTTCTTGAAAAAGAGCAGTTTCTGTCAGAGCTCTCTCAGCCCCACCTACCTCACAGGGTGTCTGTTGTGGGGAAGGGAAAGGAGTTTGTAAGCCGCTCTGAGACACCTTTGTTAGTGAAGGGTGGGGTATAAATCCAATCTCTTCTTCTTCATCTTCACTGGGGTTGAGAAATCCCCCAACCACAGCAGGCACTCCCCACCACTCAACTGGCTGGAGGGGGAATGATGCCAAAATGGGGGTGGGGAATGTCAGTAGCATCCCGGTGTGCTGATATCACTTCCAGCATGCACGGGACGTTATGTCATCACATCCCTCCCTTTCCCCGTGCCTCCCCCTGGAGCATTAAATGCTGCTTCAGCAGCATCTGAGGCACTATGACCAAAATGGGGGTGGGGAATGTCAGTAGCACCCCGGTGTGCTTATATCACTTCCAGCATGCACGGGACATGTCATCACATCCCTCCCTTTCCCCGTGCCTCCCCCTGGAGCATTAAATGCTGCTTCAGCAGCATCTGAGGCACTATGACTTAATGTACTCTGGTAAATATAATTCCCATAAAGGGAAACATTAAGATCACCTGGTGTTGGGCAAAATGAAGGGAGGAAGATGAGAAGGAAGATGAGAGTTGGCTTCCCATTCAAAGCCAGAGAAAATGAAAGCAGACATAATAATGGAAATGGGTGAGAGCAATTATTAATAATACAATAACACATAAACACATAATTGTTTGAAATGAAAATATAAAATTAAAAAGGGAGGCTATAAACATCGTTAGAAATAAAAATAAATACAAGTAATATCTGTTTAATGGAATGAGTTTCATATAGTTATGTTTTCCTATGTACACCCAGTTCCTTTCTCATGGGCAAGAACCAATGCAAGGTATTCCCCATTCACTTCAATATCAGTAGGAGATCTATGCGCTCAGCTACATGGTGCACACATATAAAGCATTAGTCCTTTGCATTATCTACTCTGAGTCTTCATTATATATTCCGTGAAGCAGTGTTTACTCTCAAGGAAGTGTGCACAGTATTGCAGCTGTCATCACTGTTATCTTTTGTTGGATCGAATCAGCCAATTCTTCAAATTAGTTATCTTTCACTGTCATTCACATACAACTACTGTTGTGGGGGAAGCACTTTTCTATAATATAATGCTAAGTACCTGAGGGCTGTAAATTATGTAACCATTTGGTTGGGGCAAATCATGTGGGATTTTTCAGCATAGTTGGCACTTTACTTGCTTGTTCCCCCCTTAATTCCTAAAATGCTGGAAGTCTGAGTCAGTCAACAAGGAAATCCTCCTTTATCGGTCCACCAGATGCCAGTGAGGCTGGTTATGATTACTCAGGAATGAGTAATTACAACTTTGTGTGTGTTTCAAACATTCCTAGGATGAACTCGGGCCGTACAGCACAGGTTCTGATGCAGAGGCAGGCCTCAAAGAAACGGGGCCCAGCCTAGCCTGATGCCAGGTGACATGGAGCTGCTGCTGCATCATGGTGTAGGGACAGGGGAGGGGCTGTGGCTCAGCAGCAAAGCATCTGCGTGGCATGAAGAAGGTCCCAGGTTCAATCCCTGGCATCTCCAGTTTGAAAGGTCAGATAGGAGGTGATGTGAAAGACCTCTACCTTAGACCCTGGAAAGCTGCTGCCAGTCTAAGTGAACAATACTGATCTTGATGAACCAAAAGGTCTGATTCAGTATAAGACAGCTTCATGTATTCATGTACGTATGTATTCATTTTCGTGTCAACAAAATTTCGTGTCAACAGCTGGTCACACCCAAAGTATATGAACGTGTGAGATGCATGGTGCCAGGGAAGATAGAATTATCTGAGCATTTTTAGCTCAGGGAAAACACAAAGAATTTTGAATGTGTGTTACGAACTGGAGAATTCTCTGAAGAGTATAACATTCTTTGCTGTATCTTTTACCTGGAGGTGTCATACTTTCGTCCTTGGACAACAATTTGTCTCCAATTTCCAGAAGGACTTTCAAAATGTGTATTAAAGTAAAACTGACCTGGGGAAAAGAAAAAATAATCATGTGTCTCAAAAAAAAGCTGCTACATTCCAATACCAGATTATAGTTGTCAGATTTTAGGATACAGTTGTATGCAAATAAAGATGAATGTCAAGATAATTTGACATCCATTTTTTATTTGACTGTTATGGTATCTTTGTGTGTAAGAAACATATTATGGCTCTTGCAGCCTGACAGGACCCAAGAAAAGAAATACTACAGTTAGACCTCAGTTAATTTAAAAGAGGTGCAGGATTTTTCATTCGCATGCCAAACCACAATGAATATGGGTGGGGTTTTTTGGGGGGGTATTTTTGCATTTGTGTGTGTGTGTGTGTGTGTGTGTGTGTGTGCGCATATGTGAGTGTTTGTGCCCCCGTGCCTGGAAGTCATGGCAAACTCTGACAATTCCAACTGGGGCATGGAGGACATTCAGAGAAGTGGCTTGATAGCCTGCCTCCACCTTCCAATTGGAGGTCTCCCACCAGAGGTCGATTCGGGGGGGATCGCAGTTCCCCCGGGTGAGGTGCGGGGGGCAGGGCACACAACAAAGCCCCACCCCCTGCTTCTGGCCGGCCCGCTTCCAGCCCTCATTCAGCCAGGAGGAGGCAGGAGAAGAGGGAGGGTAAGTTGCTTCCTCCCCGCCTCTCCCCACCCCTGCCTGCCTGGGGCCAGGGAGGGTCTTGGTGGGGCTTCCTCGCACTCCCACCGGCCTTGCAGGTCCACTGCCGAGCCTTATGATGTCAGGGGGTGTGGCATACGCTAATGAGTTAGGCTAATGAGTTCCCCTAGCTCTTTTTCTACGAAACGACCCCTGTCTCCCACTAAAATACTTGGCAGGGTTGGCCCTGCTTAGCTTCCAAGATCTGATGAAATCGGGGTTGCCTGGGCTATTCAAGTCAGGGCAATGTACATGGTTTTAGTGCTCCCAATTACCTCCTTAAATTATGGCTTCAGAGTAACTGAGTGTGACAGAAAGGTTCTCCACCTCACTCAGAGTGGACCCAGGGAGAGATGACAGAATGTTACGGGAAATTTGACAGTTAGGTCAGTTAGAGCAGGGAGAGCTGTGTGAGAGGAGGTGGGTTTGAGTCTGTGAATGAGACAGCATGAGGCCTGTAAGAATGAAGACAGTTAAGGATAAGAAGTTCAAGTGTTGAGAAGCACAGGACCTGCTTGCAGGCTCACATGGGGTGGAGAGGAGGCCAAGATGTCATGGGGGCCATCTTTAGTTGGTGTGCTGCAGGGCGACCTGCCCAGGACCCTCTGTGGTGGTTAGGGTTGCTAGGTCCCTACCTGGCATCCAGCAGGGGTTGGAAGCTCCATGTCCAGGAGCTTCATGCGTGCACCATGATGTCTTCACCTGGAAGTGATGTCATTGTGCTGGTACCATAGAGTTTTAATGCCGAACACTAGAGCGTCCCCTGACAATGTGTTCAGCACGATGACGTCACCTCCACATGATTGTTGGGAGATTTTGACTAACTATAGATAACTATAACATCTTCACTTTACTCAGCTATTACAACTCAGTTTATACATACCAAGAAGTCCAGTTACTTGGTTAGAAAAATGTTCACTCCCTATGAAGGATAATCCAAGGAAATGTTCAGGAAACTTCACATAGGATATTTTTATTGTGATATTATCTGCTCCTGATATTGAAATACTTTTTTCTTCTTCAATGATAACCTTCAACCTATACAAATAATCATAATATTTTATATGTTACTTAATATAGCTGAACCCTGTCCAAAAAGAAATTATTTAAAGACAGACTCAGAGCTACTATCTTGAAATGAAACACAGAAGAAAAGCTTACCCCTGGACTGTGAAAGACATAGCTGTTGTCCATGGGAGCATGGTTGCATTCCCATTATCATTCAGCACAATATGATCCTTTGATACATTAAGCTTCACATCAGCCTTCTGATAAGCTACTTCAAACTGCTTAAATTGCTTCTTTTCTCCTAGCTGGCCAGTCACTTGGATCCCTAAAAACATACGAGTCAAAGAATAAAGGGTTAGAAATAAGAAACATATCATAAAGTATTTGCCAGGTATACTGCAGATGTTAAAATATAACAGAAACCTAATTATAACATGAATAACAAATAACTGCTATGGAAAATGCATTTTTCTTTGGAGGTTTGAACTGAGCAAAGACTTCATCTTAAGTTTTTAACAGGAGCATCAGGAAGAAGGAGGGACAGTCAGCTGGCAAGTTTGGTGTAGTGGTTAGGAGCGTGGACTCTAATCTGGGAGAACCGGGTTTGATTCCCCATGTCTCCACATGCAGCTACTGGTGAGCAGTAGGTTTAGAACAAGATAAAAAGAAGTACTACTTCACCCAAAGAGTAATTAACATGTGGAATTAACTGCCACAGGAAGTAGTGGGGGCTATAAGCACAGACAGCTTCAAAAGCAGATTAAACAAATATACGGAGCAGAGGTCCATCAGTGGCTATTAGTCACAAGGTATAGATTGAACACTATGTCTGGGGCAGTGATGCCCTGTATTCTAGGTGCTTTGGGACCAACAGTGGGAGGGCTTCTGAGTTCTGGCCCCGCTCTTGGACCTCCTGATGGCACTTGGTTTTTGGTCACTGAGTGAAGCAGCATGTTGGACTGGATGGGCCATTGGCCTGATCCAGCTTGGCTTCTCTTATGGTCTCTTATGTTCTTATGGAATATGCCATCCAGAGACAAATTGTTTGTATAAAAGAAGATAATATTGCAGTCTTTAAGTTACTAATGTAATATAATCTTAATGACAGTTTCATAAATACAAATAAAGGGGGGGCATGGAGAAGTTCCAATTATCTAGCAGTTTGGAATTTGGACACAGTTACATTTTCAAAAATATGCATAAGTCGGGATGCTTCTAAAATTCTTCTCATCCAATTTTCTTCCTGGATTTTAGGATTTCAAATAGTCTGGTCTTGTTCCTGAAGCAGAACTGATAACATCAGGAATCCTTCAATACTTTATTTCTAAACGGTGTACCCATTTGTTACAGGTTTCCTTTTAATTCCTTCATGCTTTCACCTATCATATACATTTATGATATAAAAATGCACCGTGATAAAACTATAAAATGAGTAATTTCAATGTATTCACACCTATGATTGCATCAGGATTCTTTTGGTGTGAAATTTTATTAATTCATAGGTGTACTTATATGCATTGATGAAACACCAGAAAGACCATCTTGGTGCAATCATTTATATCAATCAATATTGCTTTTTTGCTGTGGTTTATCTATGGACAACACATATTAGATATAATGGGAGAGGGAGTTGCAAATGAACTGAAGGAACTCAAAGCCATGGCAAATTGTATATGCTTCAATTCCAGAATTTAGAATTAAGAGAGTGGAATGCAGTGCTTAACTACCTTCCAGAACAATAACAAAATAGAAATGGAGAAATTCACCTTGTATGCCACAAATCTTCTGTAGATGTAAAGTACCAGTAATCTATTCTGAATTTTGTTTAAAATTCATTAGTAGGCACATTTTCAACAAACACTTATTCTTTTACTTTACATTTTACTCTTTGCAATGTGTATTGACCAGACAAAACCTTCTAAAGCTAAAAACAGAGGCTTTGTTCAGCCTATCCAAATCAGATGCATGCTTTCTGAAGACAAACCTAACAGAAAGGCAGGCTCCAGAGTCTTTTGATTTGGCACATATGCAGTACGCTGTCAAGGGGGGAGGCAGGCCGTGGAGTTGTTGCAATTGCATGTGTGGAATAGGCAGGGATGGACTGGGAAGCAAAAATGGCCCTGGAAAAGGGCTTCAGAGTGGCCCCCTTGCATGCTTCTAGTCAAGTTTAAGGGCAGAGGCCTGTAGGTAAAAGGGTACAGAACTAAAAGCAGAACGAAGCGAGGGGAGAGGGTAGCATCTTCTCTTGAACAGAACTCAAGGCTGGGTTTTTATCTCACTCTGTCTCCAAGGAGCTCAGAGCAGTATACATAGTTCTTACCTCCCTCATTTTATTCTCACAACAACCTTGTAAGCCAGGTTAGGCTAACAGAGAGAGAGAAAGACAGCAACTGGCAAAAGGTCATGAAGCAAACCTCATGGCTGAAAGGAGATTTTGCCCACTGATGATTGGCAGGCAGTTGCCACGGAACTATAGGAATCCTTGGAAACTCTATGGTTTTACTTTAGAGTTAATGGGGATTCCTAGAGCTACCCAATGTAACTTCTGGGGTTTTTTTTACCAGAAGTGATGTGACACCACAGTTTGTCATGAGTTTTGGGGAGTCAGGGAATAAGAGAGACTGCCTAAAGCCAACTAGTGTGAATATGGTGAGATGAGAACTGACAACCTTGCAAAAGACATGAGATGCAAGAACAGGCTGTGAGATTTCTATTTAAAACTCAAATGTAACCAAGATAAGCACAGAGGGACCAGTCACCAGAGAAATAATTGGTGAGCATATTTTAAGTTTTACATAGAAATAGCCACAGACTGTACTACTTGCATTTCATAGTCTTTTCTCTAAAATTCCATTTGTGCATATGTGCATGCACGCACGTGTGCTGATTAGGGTTATCAGATGCAGATTTGGAAATCCCTAGAGATTTGGGCTGGAACCTGGGGAGGGTGGGCTTGGGGAGAGGAGGGACCTCAGCAGGGTATAATGTCATAGAGTATACCCTCCAAAGCAGCCATTTTTTTCCAGAGGAACTTATCTGTGGTCAGTTCTAATACCAGGAGATCTCCAGTCCCCACCTGGAGGTTGGCAAGCCTACCTTGGGCCACTCATATTTGCTTGGCCTAACCTATATCACAGGGCTGACCTTGTGATGAACTAGAAGAGGGGAGAACCCAGGGTTCCCAAAGGTCCTCTTTTTATGTCTTCTTTTTTTGTGTGTCAGTCCTCTTTTGGGCTCTTTTTTAAAAAACTGATGAAAATGTCCTCTTTTGGGGTTGGAAGGTTAGGAATATTCCTAGTTAGCGGCAATTACCAAAACTTAAATAGTAGGGGTATTTAAAATGAGATTTGCCATAGTGATCACTTGTTTAAAGTAGTCAGTTGGGAAATATGTCCTCTTTTTTGCTTTTCAAAATATGGTAATCCTAGGAGACCCCCTTTGGGTCCCCACTGGTGAGAAAAGCAAGATATTTAGTTAGTTAGTTAGTTTATTTATATCCCGCTCTCCCTGGCAAGCGGGCTCAGGGTGGGTCACAACTGTGTATATTGGCTGCTACCATCATATGAATACAATAATTACTAGAACTTTATTATGATTTTATAATGGTTTTAACTGCAACTATGTTTTAATGCAATTATCTGTTTTATGTGAGCCACCCTGAGCCGGCTTCAGCCGGGAGGGTGGGATAAAAATCTGAAAAATAAACATTCCATTAAATTAACAACATTTCTTTGTTAGAACAAACAATACAAGCAAAGAACAAAACAGTTAATCAATTTATTAATAATAGCAGCTAAAATAACAATAGCAAAAAATTGGAAAAACAAAAATCCACTGTCATTAACACAATGGATCCATAAAATATGGGACATATTCATGCTCGAAAAACTCTCAATTTATGACTCAACAATTAAAAATGAATGTGAATTCTATAAGCCTCTTAGTATTTGGAATCCTATTCTAGAAAAAATATCTTTAAATACTTTTGATTGGGAAAGCATAGCCAATCCAAAATATAAAATAATGTTGTTTAATTAACATTTAATGGAAAAAGACAACAAAAGTTAAACTCAACAGTAAAAATAAAAAAAAATTATTATACACATCTGACTTCCTATAGATTGACATGTTCAATAAGTGTATTGATATTGGTAAAGTTTTAGAAATTGTGACTTATATACCTAATCCTGTTCTTTATTGTTATTTGAAAATTATGGTTGAAACTATTGTGTTTTGTAATGTATTGGAAAAAAACCAATTAAAAATATTATTTAAAAAAAAGAACAATACAAGCAAAACTAACATTAAAAGAAATTACAAGCCGAATTTCAGTCTAATCAGAATAAGATGGCAACTATTCAAGGCAGTTCATAGTGCCTCCTGCAAGATGCTGAATTAGGTGGCAGTTAGTGGCAATCTGTTCCGATGATGCTCTGTTGACCTCTTTGAGCAGGGCAGATCACAGTGGGCAGTGTAAGCACCGCAAGCAGTGTAAGTAGGGGAGGCAAGATGAATTAGGCGTCCGCCACCTCAATCAAAGGCCTGATGGAACAGTTCCATTTTACAGGCCCTGTGGAATTGTAATACGACCTGCAGGACCTTGATCTCAAGTGGAAGCATGTTCCTCCAGGCCGGAGCCGGGGCAGAAAAAGCCCTGGCCCTGGTTGAGGCTAATCAGACATCTTTCGGGCTGGTGACTACCAGGAGATGTTGCTCTGCAGAGCATAAAGCTCTCTGGGGCACCTACGGGGAGAGACGGGCCCATACGTATGTTGGTCCCTGACCCCATAGGGCTTTCAAGGTTAGTACCATAACCTTGAATCAAATCTGGTACTCAACTGGCAGCCAGTGTAATTGGCACAACACCGACTGAATGCGCACACACACAAACATCACCATCAGCAGGTGTGCCACCGCATTTTGCACTAGCTGCAGTTTCTGCGTCAGGTTCAAGGGCAGCCCCACATAGAGTGAGTTACAGTAATCCACACTGGAAGTGACCATTGCATGAATCACTGTAGCTAAGTCCTGGGAGGTGAGATAGGGAACCAGTTGCCTGACCAGTCACAGAAGACTGACCTGGTAACAGTGGTGACCTGGGCCTCCATGGAAAGCGAGGCATCCAGGATCACCCCTAGACTCCTCACCTTCGGTATTGGTGTTAATGGTGCCCTGCCAAGGGCTGGGAGTTGGATTCCTGATCCCAGACCCCCAATGTTCTGGTACAGGACCTCTGTCTTCGCTAGATTTAGTTTCAGCTAACTCTACTGTAGCCATTCAGCCACGGCCTCCAATGCCCTGTCCAAGACATCTGGGGTGGAATCCAGTTGGCCATCCATCAGCAGATAAAGTTGGATGATCAACATACTGGTGACAACCCAGCCCAACCCCCCTGACTAGCTAGGCAAGGGGGTATATGTAGAAGTTAAACAACATTGGCAAGAGGATCACCCCTTGCAGTACAATGCATTCCAGCTGGTATCGTGGTGAGATCGTCTCGCCAAATAAATGAGTAGCAATAGCAACAACAAAACAATAACAATAACAGTGAATTCTAGCTTAGGCCCAATGGTGAGCAGTTGCTGACAACTTCCTACTTAAAGGCATTGAAGCTTATGGGGAATGATGTCACATACAAAATGTTTCCAGAGGGCTTTCAACCATCGAACCCACAAAATGTCAGATGGAAACAGCAGAAACATCTGACATGGAAGGTAAAAAGTTGACAACTGTTTATGTTGTAAGACATACCTTTATCTGGATCCGATAGTAGGTACTGCAGACCAGGTATCTGTGAATGCGCAGTGACATTTAAACAAAGGACGTCGTTTTTACCAAGCAGCTGCAGGATGAAATGTGGATATTGTCCATCTGGGGGAGGACAGGAAGAATTTTTTTTAAGTATGACTAGACGTTCTCCTACTCCTCCAGAATGATGCTGTCTTAATTTTTGTAGCTAATAACACTTTAAAAGAATTCCGCTCCATTTGTACAATTGTTGTGTCAATTGATATAAAGTATTGCCCTCACGGAACAAGGCAGATACAGATTACAATAAGAAACAAATTCTACTTGCAGCTCCAGTTCTTATGTGGGATGGAGAGGTTTGGCCAGACGCCTACAACCCCGTGTGAAATGACCACTCTCACAACATATTTTGGAAAATAAGTGGATAAAATTGGCCACAACTTTATTGATTACAGCTGTAAGAAGCATTGGCACAGCATGGGTCCACTGGATCAGGATCATCAGCTGACCCCACGCCAGTCGATGTACCCCATCACCCAGCCAGCTGGCATGGGTGAAGATAGCGGAATGGCAGGTTACCAGGGATCACGTGGATGACTGCCCTTCATGATCTCCCCTGCCATCTGGCAGTGAGGGCAAGCACTGTTAGTCCTTGTATAGGCTTTCTCCCATCAGCCCTCACACCGACCCCTTAAGGTGGTCCCCAAATCTGGTAAATGGCATGCAGGCTGATTTTCGTAAACGGATTCGGCCCCATGCTGTTACTGCCACAAGAGCTGGGCAGAACCCCCCATCCAGCTCCGAACAACACTCCTACAGCTGTAGCCAAGATAGTAGGGAATGTCTAAATCCATGCCGTCAGATGTCCATTCCCCAAGAAAACATATGTACCCCATCTGACCGAAACAGAGCCCCTAACTTGTGGGAGATGTCTGGGTGGCGTATCCAAACACCCCCTGCAGCTTCCACTGCCCTGCCCAATCTGCCAGACACCTTCCACCTTGCCACATCCACCTTCCCGGGATGAGTGGCTCCCCTCCACGAGTGACACTCCAGCCAATCCAACCAAAAAAATAACTGTGTTGGCCAAATCCACCCTCAAGAACGCCAGGTCAGCCAGCACCCAGTGTACAATGGACACCCTGGTCTGCTCCATCAAATCATTCTCCCCGAGCTGTAGCACCAATGTGTCAGGAGGTCAGTTCAACGCTCTACTATGGTCTAACATGGGTCCCTTTGACCCAGCCATGTAACTTGAATAATGGTCTCCAGTCCTAAATCCTTGCCCCATCTGGATGATGTTGCATACAATCCAGCCCAATGAACAATACTGTGCCTAAAAATCCAGACTGTCCTGTGTGGTTGCCCTGGAACCGAGGAAGGCCAAAGAACATCTTAATGACCACCCTCTATGTGAGGTCTGATGTAAGCCTTGTAGGCCTTAGAGCACCATCGCCCTATGGCTTGGATGCATGCTGAGGGAAGCCCGAGGACTGCAGCCATGGTCGCTGCCTCGATCTTAAAGGAATGGGGCCCAAATCCTCGGTAGGGCAGACCCAAGGTCCCCACTGCTGCCCTCAATACACCCCTAAACTGATATCTGGTCAATGGGGATCCATCTCGATGGATGAGTAAAGGACCACCCTTATGGGGCTGCACAGCTAAAAATGCCCTTGTGGCCTGCACTGGGCATGGCCCCCCCCCGGTAGGGGCCCTAGATGTTCCCAGGCCCCCTTCCCCAATTGGTCAGTCTTTGACCTCCTGATGAACAATGATATCCCATTTGCTAAGATATCCCACACCCCCAGGGATGTGTTAGTGAAGGATGTCTTGGAGCTTGTCACCAGGTCCCCCACCCGCAGGGCCCCAAAAATGCCAAAATTAATGAGGTTTCAAATAATGCCATTTCGTAAGGGGACCAGCACACAACCGGGAGCTCCTGCTAAACCCACACCAGCATGTTAAAGGTCAGCGGCCTGCATCGGTCAGGTGGCCATGTGGCAAGGCTCCACCACCCTTTGACTGCCCTATGGGCTGGGAATGAGTTACATGGGTCAGGGAACCCTTGTGCCTTACTAAAGAATGTAATGGCAGCCAGCCACGTGTCCCCGGATGCTGTTATGGGAGAACCCCTGATCCTGGAGGCTTGCTATGTAGCAAAGCACCCAATCGCCAGACACGGGCCACATCCGTGGACCCCCATATTCTGAGGAAAAATTGAAGAAGGCTTCCACCGCCTTGGCCTAAGTGTTAAAGGTGGATGGAGCAATGGAGCCATAGATGCACCGCATTATGGTACCTTCCCAAGATCCCAAAGCTCCTCCAGAAATGGATCTGAAATGAGGATGGCTTCTGGTGCCAGGGCGCGGAACCACTCTTCCTGCAATCAAGACAAAGCATCCACTATGCTGTTATCCACGCCGGGGACATGATGTGCTGAAAACGTAATGTTATCAGCCATGCAGACCAAAACCAGTCTGCGGACGAAGCGCATCATCCTTTCCGACTTGGAAGTCTATTTCTTCACAACCCGTACAACTGCTTGATTATCGCACCCAAAGGCTGGGGTGGGGCAGGCAAGCAGCCGGCTTTTTCTTTTTAAACCTCCCATCCCCCAACTGCTCTGGTGGCTTGCCATTGGCCTGGAGAAGGGGAGGGAGGTCCTGACTTTCCCTCCACTCACCACCCCCACCCCCATCCAGCATCTGGCCACCTCTCCCTCCACGCCCAGCCCCGCAAATGACGGGCCATGCTAACTCGGGCCCTTCTTGCTAGTGAATAAATTAAGTACAACCAATGAGGTCAAGCCACATGTAATAGAAGGATCCATGTGCATTTATCCCCATGTCCCCCTTGTCAAATATAAAATATAGAATGTGGGAGAGTCTATTTTAACAGTAATGGAGCATAAAGATGGGAGGAACTAAACACAATGCCTTTTTCCCTATCTTGCATTCCAATGCTTTAAGCAGTGTTCCTCAATGTGGGGCTATTGTGCCCACCAATGTTTCCCAGTGCCCACTTTCCTCTCCCTGAAAACACCTATTCCCCAAAGCAAAAATCCAATTCTGGTTTTCCTCAACCTCTTTGGAGTAGGAAGTACTTTAGAACCTTAGGAGATTTGGAAATGGCTGCCCCAAGCATAGCAAGATGCCTGGCTTAAAACTTCCTAACCTTTTAAATTGCTCTCTCCTGGCAGCAATTTTGTGATTAGTACTGCCTAGAGATGTAAACATTCAGGAAAAAAAGAAAATTGAGGCACTCCCTGCCCCCATTCCCCCCCAAAGGATGTTTATTTCCAATTCTCCCCCAAATCTGCTTTTTCCGGGGGGGAGGGGAATGGCAAAAAGTTTTTTTCCATTCCTTCAAAATTTCCAGAAATATATTTATTTATATATTTATTTATTATTTGTAGTTATACCCCTCCTTGCCTGACAAGTGGGCTCAAGGCGGCTAACAAGATTAAATAACATAACAAAAAATCAAGACAATTAATAAATACAATATCAGTTAAAACAAGTGTGCAACAGCAAGTACAGAACCAACTATGGCAGTAATCCAATCAAATCCCAAGATAGGGGTAGTAACTAGCAGGAACTCTAGCCAGGAGATGGTCTAAGTTCGGCCAGAAGATGTTCCAGGGCACACCCTGTAGTTCAATGGGTCATAGGGACTACCCTTTTTAAACAAAGGAACAATTATAGCCAAGCCCCAGTCTTTAAGAATCTGAGTTGAAGCATCTATATAGGAGAAAAGATTTGCTAAGACTGGAGCCCACCAATCTATGTGCGATTTTAAAAGCTCAGCAACTATAAAGTCACCTC